CCTCCCCGCGCGCCGCCTCCGCCCGGCGCCGGGAAACTGGGGCCGCGGGGTCCGGGGCGCCCCAAGGTCACGCGGCCCGAGGCCTCGGAGCCCCGCGCGGGCCTCTCCCCTGGAGGGGAAACTGAGGCCCGCGACGTGTAAGGACGCGCCCAAGGTCACGGAGCCCCGCTGCCCGGCCGGGGCCGCCCCTCCCGCGCCGCGGCTTCCACCTCTGCCCGGAGGGCACCGGCGCGGGGAGGGTGCACGCGGGCCTGGGAGACGGGAGGCCGCCACGGCCAGCGCCTCCTTGCTTTCCGTAGGTTTGAAGACTCCCACAATGAAAGCGTGTTTCTAAAGGTCACAGGAGCCCTTGCTGGGTCGCCCGTGGGCCCTGGACACGGACCCTTGAGTGCGTGGGGAGGGGCCGGCCGGCTTGGGGGCCGTTCTGGGAGACTCGGGCACTCCTCTCCCTGGTCTGCATTTGAGGAAACTGACAGGGAAAACTAGAAGAGGCACCCGAGGGTGTGGGGCTCCCACCCACCCCTCAAACCGTGCCCTGGGGAGCAGTGCGGGGTGGGGGGGTCTCCTCTAGGTCCACTCACCCCTCAAACTGTGCCCTGGGGAGCAGTGCGGGCGGGGGTCTCCTCTAGGTCTGGTGGGCTTTAGATTGGGGTCACAGGGAGACCCAGAGCCCGCTAGTGCCTTCGCACAGGCACCAGAGCCCTCTGCCCCGGGGCTGCCTCCTTCCCCGACCCCTCAAGCTTCGGGTGCGGCTGTGCCCCCAGTGCCCCCAGTCTCCGGCTCTGAGACAGGTGCTTCCCAAGGCTCTGCTTCTGGGCCACAGCCAGGCCGAGTGTGGGGGCTGCTTGGTGCCAGGTGACATGAGGCCTGTGTCCCTAGCCACCCAGCCCACCCAGCCCACCAGACAGCCGGGATGGGGTGGGTGAGAGAGTTGGCAAGTGAGAGAGAGGAGAGAGACAGTCACACACGAAGAAGTGGAGGCTGAACATCCCCACCCTCATGGCACTCTCCTGGGACCCTCCTGGCACCCTCCTGAGATCCTCCTGGGACCCTCCTGGCACCCTCCCGGTGCCCTCCTGGGACCCTCCTGAGATCCTCCTGGGACCCTCCTGCCCTCCTGGGACCCTTCTGGCACCTGGCCTGACGTCCCCTCAGCCATGATGCCCTGTGTGTCAGGTGCCGCCTGCCCACCTGCACCTCGGGGCCACCGGGGCAGAGATGGCCCCCTTCCTGCACACAGGAGGCACTCAGTGGTACTTGAGGGAGGGCCAGCATGCCCCCGGTTGACACTGGATGGGCTGAGCCCGACCGAGTCTCTCGCCCCGACCAAGCTGCCCCACACCCTGGGGATCCCTGTGCCCCCACGCCGGCCGGCCCCGCCGGCCACCTCCCCACAGGCGGGCAGGACAGCTGTTCGTCCCAAGGTGTCGCGGGAGAGGCTGGGCTGGTGGCACAGTTGGCAGTGCCAGGCTGTGGCCCGCCCTGAGGCAGATGCGTGCTCCAGCTGAAGGGGGATCTTTTATGTTCACCCTGGGAAGATGTCAGGCTGGGCAGGTCGCCAGAGCCCTGGGGCTCGCGCTTGGGAGCAGGGAGGCGGCGGCACCCGCATGGCATGAGAACCGCCCATGCCTGGCAGTGGGAGAAGCAAAAAGACGCCTCCTCCAGGCGCCGGCAGAACCTGCAAGTCACTAGGGAGGCTGGCTCGGGGTCCTTCCCACCAGATCCCGGCGACTCCTCTCCAGCCCACAGGCTTACCCGGGCCAGTGCCTGTCAGTGTGAGCAGGGACCCTCCCTGGCCTCAGCACACTCACTCTGACCCCTTGCCCAGGCTGGAGTACTCTGCATTTGTTAATTAATTTTCAGATGGAGTCTCGCTCTGTCGCTGCCCAGGCTGGAGCGCAGTGATGTGACCTCGGCTCACTGCAGCCTCCGCCTCCTGGGTTTAAGCGATTCTCCTGCCTCAGCCTCCAGACTAGCTGGGATTACGGGTGCCCGCGACCACGCCCGGCTAATTTTAGAGACGGGGTTTCGCCATGTTGGGCCAGGCTGGTCTCAAACTCCTGACCTCAGGTGACCCACCCGCCTCGGCCTCCCAAAGTACTGGGATTACAAGTGTGAGCCACCCCCCGGCCATGCTTATTTATTTTAATTTTAAAAATATTTAAAGATCGAGACCAGACTGACCAACATGGTGAAACCCCGTCTCTACTAAAAATACAAAAATTAGCTGGGTGCGGTGCGTGCCTGCAGTCCCAGCTAGGCTGAGGCAGGAGAGTTGCTTGAACCCAGGAGGCGGACGTTGCAGTGAGCCGAGATCGCACCACTGCACTCCAGCTCTTGGTGACAGAGCAAGACTCCATCTCAGAAAAAAAAAAAAAAATAATAATAATAATAAATAAAGTTGGCTGGGCACGGTGACTCAGGCCTGTAATCCCAGCACTTTGGGAGGCCGATCAGGAGTTCGAGACCATCCTGGCCAACATAGCAAAATGCTGTTTCTAATAAAAATACAAAAATTAGCCAGGCATGGTGGCGCACGCCTGTCATCTCAGCTACGCAGGAGGAGGCTGAGGCAGGAGAATCGCTTGAACCTGGGAGGTGCAGCGAGTCAAGATGGCCCCACTGCACTCCAGCCTGGGCGACACAGCCAGACTCCGTCTAAAAACAAACCAAAGACTGACTAAGCACCTGCTCCAGGGGACGAGCATTCAGTGTGGCTGACTCAGAGCCAGCCAGGGGAGAAGCTGGTTATCACAGTCAACCGTAAGAGTAGCAAATAAGATACTGTCCAGTAGAAGGTGGTGAGCGCTGTCCAAACACTCGGGGTGGGGAGAGGGGCGAGGTGCCGGGAGAAGGCCTGAAGGAGGGGGTGCGGCCCGGGAAGCCGCAGGAAGCGTGCTCTGGACAGGCAGCACAGCCTGTGCAAAGGCCCTGAGACGGGACCACACCTGACACCTGACTTGTATAGGGAGCATGGAGACCCAGGGCCTGTCTCCTCAGTCACGCTGGTCTGTGGCCTACAACCACCCACGGCTCCCAGTGCCTTTGGCAGAAAGCCCTGCAGTTTGTACTCCTCTGTCCACGCCTGGCCTTTGTGTGCCTGGGTCACTGGGCCCCGGACCCCCCGACCCCTCCTTGCTGAGCCTCCCCAGACCCTGCCGTTCCCTCCCCAGGGTCTTCCCCACCTCCCCGCCGCCTGCAGCCTCTCTCAGCATTGTTTACCGCATTTACCAACCTCGGACCTGCATTTCCCACTTAGTCAGGACAGGTCCAGGTCGGATGCCCTGAAAGCTTATACAATTTGGGGGCTTTGGAGTGAAAAGCAGTGTAAGACCAGGAAGACAAAATCAGGCCAGGGCAGGCACTGAGCCCGCCTGGAAAATCTGCAGTTTGACTAAATACTAAATGAGCCAGGCGGAGTGGTGCGTGTCGCCTGTGGTCCCAGCTTACAGCTGAGGAAACAGAGGCTTAGGAAAGGGGGTGGCATCCCAGTCTCAGCCACACACGCGAGCCCCATCTCTGCACACCTCAGTGCTCACTGGATGCTTGTCGATGAACATGGACACCAAATGCTGAGGTAAGGTGCACAGAGCTACATGCTGAGCGGCTATACTTTTGCGAATCAGGCTTATATTTCTGTGTGCAAAGAAAAAAGACGAAGGAAACACCTATGGGTGAGTGGCTGCTTTCTCGGGCGGTTGACCCTGCAGGGACCCAGGCCCCCCACCTGCTGGTCGCCACCCCAAGAAACCCATCTCCCAAGGCTGGCCTGACCTGCAACTCTCACACTTTCCATGCGGTGCAGAGCATGAGGCGTCCACAGGCACTGTGGGCCCAGCCTGGGGCTGGGGTGCGGCAGAAAGCTGGACAGAGCCCAGGCAGGGAGGTGGGGTGGAGACCCGAGCCAGGGGCCCACGTGGGCCGCGTGCCCAGCGATGCCCCCCAACGCGCCCCTTCCCATCATCCTGTTGGCAGTCTCCATCCCACTGGACCCTTCTGCCTGTTGTCCACGCACAACCTGCAGCTCCAGGTATACCACAGGCGCCTAATCAATGAAAGCAGAAGGGGCATCCCTATTCACGGGTCACTGAGCATACACTCAGTGGGTGATGCCTGGGACTCCGCGGTCTCAGCCCAGGAGGGGCTGCCAGGCTGCCCGGGCACAGGGGCTCCAGGACCTGCCGCCCTCCCCACGGGCATGTGGTGCCGCCTGGTGGCAGCAGCGGGGAGGCCCCAGCTGTGGAACTGGCAGGGCGGTCACCGCCAGGGACCCTGAGCCGGCCTCAGCTCAGAACACACTGCCCTCCCACCTGATGCCTGGCTTCTCTGGGAACGCACCCAGGCTCCCTAAGCCCCTACTCAGCCTCTTCTGCTGACCTCCACCCCGAGACCCCCGCTCAGACCAGCAGGAGGCCCAGTGCCTACAGGGCTGACAGCTGCAAACCTCCCTCCACACCCAGTCACGAGCCCTGTGTCTTGCAACCTCCACGCTGTAAGCTCCGGGTCCCCCCCAAGTTCTCCAGCCCTGCAGCCACGTCTGTTCCATGTGCTGGGCGGACAGGGGCTGGGCATCCCTCAGCCTCCAGGAACCAGCTTCACACACCTGCTCTCCAGGAGCCGCCAGGACCACGCCTGAACCTTGCCCAAGCAGCCCGCCCAGGAGGGTCGGTGCGGGCAGCTGTGGGGCAGGCAGCCGAAAGCCTCAGCCTTTGTCAGGCCCAAAGCACGCCGAGAGGAGTAACAGGCTCAGAGAAGACTCAGGTCAGTGCCAACCCTCTGCTGTGTGGCTCTGAGGCACGGGGTCGGTCCCAGCTGCCTTCCAAGTTCCCAGTCCAGCCCATGCCCCCAGGCCCCCAACACCCACTGGGGTCTCAGCAGACCCGTCCTCACACGTGAAGTCCCGGCACCGGACCCACCGCTGCTGTGGTCACCAGAGCCCAGGGTGAACACGCTCTCGGGCGACCCAAGCCCGCCAGGCAGAGACAGGAGCCAGGAGAGGGTGAGGGTGGGGTGGGGGCGATCTTTATTGTGGCGGTGGGTGGGACAGGGGCTCCCACTGAGTCCTGGTGCTGTGGAGAGTGGGCTGTCCTCGAGGGGCGAGCTGGGGAGGGGCGTCCACGGTTCTGGAGTCCCAGCGACGGCGCCAGTTCCCCAGCAAACCCTCCAAAGAGCTGCCCCCGGATGCACAGGCAAGGAAGGGGTTTGGGGTGACTTGAGGCCGTGACGGGGTTGCCCTCAGTGTGCGCAGGTGAGTCCTCTGTGGCCAAGAGGTCGGAGTCGTCCCTGAGGCTGAGTCAAACACAGACCTGTGGCCTTCATAAAATTAAACATAAAAGCGCAAAAATGGCGCAACCAGACAGCATTGGCTTCAGACAGGCAGCACGCGGGCCCCTCGTGTGACCTGTGACCTTCCGCAGCCAGTGGAGAAGGCTGCGCCGCCCCCCCGCCGTGACTCAGACCCCGAGGCGGAAAGCCACAGGCGGGCCGCGGCGCCGCAGCTCCCGAGCTCTCGAGAAATACTCACAAAGGAAAAAACCTAAGGAACAGAATCCTGAATGCAGAAAGAAAACCCTACTTTTTTTAAAAAGACGAAAGCGTATGATGGGAATCTATGGGGTGGGTTTTCTTTAAGAGGCGAGAACTTGGAATCTTGCAAGCACTGGGAGTGGACTCCAGCGGCGACGCAGACGCGGGGGCGGGGAGCGTCCTCGGGCCACCTGGGGACAGGGAGGGGCGCTCAGACTGGACCCACCTCCCAGCGGCCCACAGGCGGGACCCAGGAGCCCACTGCCCCGGCTCAGGAGGAGCTCCCGCCCGCCTGCCGCACCTGGCTAGGAGGAGTTCCTCTGTCGGACTTTCTTGCCTTTGTCGTTCAGGTGCTGCCCAGTGCTCTTCCTGGGGCATGAGGGGCCGGGTGAGAGGGCGTCTCCGACAACTCACCCTCTCCAAGTCACCCCTGCCCACCCCGGCCCCCAGGACCCCAGAATACTGAAGCCGGGGGGCTCTGTCTTTGTGTTTTAAAGGCCTGGGGCAGCAGGCAGCTCCCTGGGACCCCGAACCCCACAGCTGGGACTTACAGGGGAGCAGAGCCCGCGTCGTCATCTGAAGGAGGACCGCCACCATGAAAGAGAAGACGAGAGAACAGCCTGTCAGAGCTGGTCCCACTCAGGCCCCCGAGCAGGGACATCTGTGCTGCTGGCCCTGCCCTCAGTGACCTCCAGGTGGCTCAGGGCAGCGCATCAGCCCCGGCCGTGTGCATCTTCTGAGGCCGAATGGTGTGGGGAAAACCCGCCCTCCCCACCTGCGGTGTGCTCCCCACGGCGAGCTGTCCCCCCCCCCACGGCGAGCTGTCCCCCCCCAAGGTAAGCTGTCCCCACGGCCTCATGGGCCTCACTCCTGCCCCCCAGTGCTTTCCAAGAGCCGCCACCACAGGCCCACACAGGCCTCGCCCCAGAACACGCAGCCCGAGGAGCAGAAGAGCCACAGGCGCTGCCGGGGCCGAGCACGGCTGACCTCAGGCTCCCGAGCCCGGTCACGCAGAGGCCAGGACTCCGATACCACGGCCCTGGGCTCTTCGCAGCTGCCACGAGGTCGCGCGGAGCAGCAAGGGCTGGCTTACCATGGCGGACACTGGCTTGCAGCCACGTGAGGGGGAGGGAAGGGTTGGGTGAGGCTGTGGGGTGAAGCTGCTGCCTCTTCCTCCTCCTGGGGTCTCGCTGCCCACTGAGTCGCAGCTGCCCAGGGACGGACCGGACGCTCCATCCCACACTGCCTTTCAGGGTCCTATCAACTTCCCGCCCGGGGCTCCTTGCTTCCGAGCTCTGGGTCAGCGGTGGGGCTGGCAGGGACTGACCAGGAGTGGCCCCGGACCACCCCAAGAGCGGGGCGTGTGGGCAGGAGGGCAGACGGCTCACCATCCAGGACGTCCTCGGGCTTCCGGCGCTTCTCATAGATGAAGATGATGGTGACCAGCACCAGCACCTCAGCCACGATGCCCAGGAAGGGCCAAAGGGCGGCCAGGTGGCTGCGCACGCGGAGGGTGACCACGGCCTGGTCGGTGCCCTCGGAGCTGGTGCCATTGCACGCGTACTTGCCGGGGTCGGCCTCCATGTTCAGGTTCTCGATGCGTAGCTCCGACCGGCCCTGCGAGAAACTCACGAAGAACCTGCCCTGGGAGCCGTTCACGATGACCTAGGGGGACCAAGGACAGGGGCTGAGCCCGGGACCCCGGACCTAGGCCCCTCCCCCGGTCCTGAGGGCTGAGCCCGGGACCCCCGGCCCAGGCCCCTCCCCCGGTCCTGAGGGCTGAGCCCGGGACCCCCGGCCCAGGCCCCTCCCCCGGTCCTGAGGGCTGAGCCCGGGACCCCCGGCCGCCCTGGCTTCTCACCTGGTCCCCAGAGTCAGTTATCTTGTACCAGACCCAGTTGGTGACGGGGGGCAGGGACTCTGACTTGCAGGTCAGCACGGCTGTCTCCCCCTCGCTGACGTGTTCTGACGACTTCACAGCCTTCACTCTGGGGGCGCCTGACAGGAGGGCTGAGAGAGAGAGGAGCCTGGAACCGCAGGGCTCCCCGCAGCGCGAGGGCTGTGCCCCTCCAGGGAGCAGGGCAGGGCTCCGGGGTGTGCCGGGTGCTTCAGGCCAACCGCTTCCCCCGACAGTCGGCGGCGCCTGGCACCCCTGGCTGCAGGACTCACCGTCGAGCTGGATGTCGGCCCTGCCCGTGGGCTCGGGGAGGAAGACGCAGGAGTACTCTCCCGAGAGGTCGTCGGAGTCCACCCTGCAACCACAGCAGGCGGTGAGCTGGGCCCGGCTCTGCAGGACGCCTCCCAGGACCCAGGGCTCTGCAGGGGCCCAACCACGGCACAGTGAAAAAGTCAAACTGTCCCAGTCAAGTCTGAACCTCAACAAAACTCCTGGTGTCCCCATACGGCCCAGGGACAGAGCCAGGCTGCCAAGACCCTCCAGGTGAGAGAACCAGCAAACAGGACCCTCTCCCTGACGACAAACCCGTCACCTCTGGTCCCTGCTCTGCACCCCACACCCTGGGACTGTCTTCCCAGTGAGCCTCAAAACAAAAGGCTCTGTGCTCCCAGGGCCGTCCCAGCTCCAGTGATGACAAGGCTCTGGCCATGACAGCGTCTGGGGGCTGAGCCAGGCAGGCCTCAGTGTGGCGCCCTCTTGTGTCAGGAGCACAGAGCCCGGGAGGCCTGCACGTGTGCCCGGGACCTGGCAGTGTGGCACCCTTTTGTGCCCGGGACCTGGCAGTATGGCGCCCTTTTGTGCCCGGGACCTGGCGAGGGAGCAACAGGGACGCCTGTCAGGGCTACTGGAGCCACCTGGCTCCCAAGGGCGCCCTCGGACCCCTCCCTGGGGTTTCCCTCGGGGGGTCCGAGTGGAGCTGGTCCCTAACTTCCGCCTGGATCGAGCCTGGCGACCAGTCTTTTGTTCTCACGGACCACAGGCCACTCGCGGCAAGAGAGCTGTGAGAAGGGGCACGTGGTGGCGTTCCGCGGTCCGGCACTCACTCGAAGTCCATTTTCTGGCCGGGCAGCGTGTCCTCCTTCAGCACCGCGCCACCTTTCAGCCAGCGGTGCCCGGTGACCTCTGTGGAGCTGTCGTTCAAGGAGCAGGTGAGGAGTGTCTTCGAGCCAATGTTTTCTACGGAAGTGGAGACTGTGCCGGCTGCGAGGCCCGGCGAGACGGGGTCAGCAGAGTGGAGGAGCACGGCCACGCTGCCTGCCTGAGCCCCAGGAACCTGTGGCTCCTCCCGGGAAGGGCTTGTTTTCACTCCCGAAAACACCGTGGCCCTGACACCCCGAAGACTGGAAGCCCAGGGGGAACACTGACCGCGCCTCCGGGAAAAGAAGAGCCACAAGCGCCTGCTGAGGAGGCCCCTTCGGGAAGGCGCCCTTTGCCGGCAGCTGGCGGGCCCTGGGCTAAGGCGCTGGCAACCGAGCGGCCCCGCCTGGTGATGTTCCTGCCCGGAGACACACGAGGCTGGGACCGGGGTGTGGGGACAGACAAGGCACCGCTCACGTCCCTGAGCCAGGACCAGGGCATCAGGCCCTTGGAGCAGCCCTAGCACAAACTGGAAATTCCTTTCTAAAAACGTAGCGGGCCGGCGCGGTGGCTCACGCCTGTAATCCTGGCCCAGCACTTGGGAGGCTGAGGTGGGCGGATCACAAGGTCGGGAGTTTAAGACCAGCCTGGCCCACATGGTGAAACCCCATCTCTACTAAAAGTACAAAAAAATTGGCCGGGCACGGTGGCTCACGCCTGTAATCCCAGCACTTTGGGAGGCTGAGGCGGGCGGATCACAAGGTCAGGAGATCGAGACCACGGTGAAACCCCGTCTCTACTAAAAACAGAAAAAATTAGCCGGGCGCGGTGGCGGGCGCCTGTAGTCCCAGCTACTCGGGAGGCTGAGGCAGGAGAATGGCGTGAACCCGGGAGGCGGAGCTTGCAGTGAGCCGAGATCGCGCCACTGCACTCCAGTCTGGGCGACAGAGCGAGACTCCGTCTTTAAAAAAAAAAAAAAAAAAAATTAACCAGGCGTGTTGGCTCGTGCCTGTAATCACAGCTACTTGGGAGGCTGAAGGAGGAGAATCGCTTGAACCCAGGAGGTGGAGGTTGCACTGAGCCGATACCGTGCCACTGCACTCCACCTGGGCAACAGAGCAAGAATCCGTCTCCAGGAAAAAAAAAAAAAAATAGCCACAGCACCCCCTGGCCAAGGCTCCCATGCCCTTCTCTAGGAGGCACCCAGGTGGCTCCACACCCCCCGACCCCAGGCTGACAGCACTCCAGCAGTGCTGGGAGCACCCGTTCTTCTGCCAATCCCCAACAAGCAAATCTCTTGGTTCTTGGTCAGTTTACAATATTCCCACTAGAAATTGAAATGTGAAAATCCCTTAGAAAGAGACGCTGGGAAGGACACAGAAGGTTCTGAGACCTGCAAGCCTGGGCTGAGCTTGGCAGTACGGACGCTCAGGGAGGGAGCTGGGCAGGCGCCCAGGGGAGCAGAAAGGAACGGCGGAACAGACGGCACGAGGAGGGTCGAGGGCAGGACGAGGACCCACCTGCTGGAGGGCAGAGCCCTGCCCTCCCCAAGCCAGGCTGCCAGCACTGGTGGTCAAGCAGCAAGCCCACCCTCTTCAGGTCCGGGCCCCTCTGTCCAGGTGGTGGGCCCATGGGGCACAGCGGGACGGAGAGGGGAGGAGGCGTCTGGGTTCTACGGAGCAGGAGCTGGGAGGCGAGCGGCACAGGAGGGAAAATGAAGGAGGCGGGGAGGGCGGTGCCCGCCACTCACGTTCCAGGACTAGCACGACTGCCTGGGCGCGGACCCACTTGACCCTGGGCGCCCGGGTCAGGTGGTTGCGGTCCGGGTCGTTGCTGGCCCGGCACTCATAGGTGCCCGTGTCCTCCTCTGCAAGTGTGTCGACGGTGATGGTGCTGGCCGCGTGCTGGTGGTAGGTGGCGTGGATGTGGACGCGGTCCAGCCGGGCGCCGTCCCAGAGCTGGGAGCAGGTGTCGTTGGGACCGTGCCCTTCAAACCACCACTGGATCTCGGGCACCGGGTTGCCCACGGCCTCGCAGTGCAGCTCCACACTGCCCCCCACCCACCTCTGCTGGGACAGCGGCGCCTGGACGAAGCCGGCTGCAGGGAGAGTGCGGGGGCCTTGTTAGTGCCCAGGGGACTTGCGAGGGCAGCCCCTGGGGAGGGCCTTGCCACAGGACTCCCAGCCAGGACAGGTGGGAAGCCACGTCCTTTCCGCGTGTGGGGGAGTGATGGGGCCCGGCTGGAAAGAGCATGGCACGGGAAAGACTGGGGGGGCCACCGTGGCCGTCCAGTCCACTCCTACCTCATGGCAGCCACGGCGGCTTCTGAGGGCACAACTGTGGGACCACACACCGTTTCAAAACACAAAACACATGAAACTGTGCAGAACAGCCAGGAGTCCTGAGCCCCGAGGGCTGCCGGGAGCTCAGCTCCCAAGGGCAGCGTCCTCTGCCTTCTGCCCGATAGCCCCACCCCAGAGACCCGGTGAGCTGCTGAGAAAAACAAACCCCAAAGCCAAAGGGTCAGACGGCCTCTGTCCGGGAGCTCCTAGCCCGGCTCCTTTAGGATGGCCCGTGGGTGGAAAGCTGGTGTCCTCAGCAATCTCTGAGGGCGGTGACCCAGAGAGACGGGGCTTTGGGAAGCTGGGAGCCAGGCAGGGCCTCAGGGCCCCTCACCTCTGGCCACCCGCCACCCCTTCCTTCGAAATGCAAGGGAAGGCCCCCAGAGCCGCGAAGGAGCACAAGGGAATCCACACAGACCCTCACACTGTGCCTGGCACCCGCCTGTCAGAACAGCCCAGCCCAGCCTAGGGGGAAGCATGGGGAGTGCCTCCTCGCCCCGGGACCTGGCAGCCCCCTCCCCACAGCACCCTCTGAGGTCAGGCTCCCCAGGCACCGCCACAACACACACGTATACAAGGACACACATCTGCAGACACACACGCCACAACACGTACACGTGTACACGCATGCTCACGGCCCCGAGGCTGCGTGGCAGTGCACAGGTCACAGGCCCCAATGCCACAGGGACAGCAGATGTTCGCCCCTGACCACCGGAGGCGAACTCCAGGCAGGCGCAGTTAACAAGTTCTGGCACTGCCATTTTCTTTTTCTTTTCTTTTTTTTTTTTTTTTTGAGACAGTCTCACTCTGTTGCCAGGCTGGAGTGCAGAGGCACAATCTCAGCTCACCACAACCTCTGCCTCTGGGGTTCAAGCAATTCTCCTGCCTCAGCCTCCCGACTCCTGAGTAGCTGGGATTACATGTGGCCACCGCACTCAGCTAATGTTTTGTGTTTTTAGTAGAGACGGGGTTTCACCGTCTTGGCCAGGCTGGTATTGAACTCCTGACCTCGTGATCCACCCTCCTGGGCCTCCCAAAGTGTTGGAATTATAGGCGTGAGCCACCGCGCCTGGCTGGCAGTGCCATTTTCACAAAGGGATCTCCTCCTGGTAACTTACATTTCTTGGGAGTTAAGATTTCCCAGACTGCAAAACCAGCAGCTACATGCAGAGCTGGGCGAGGTGAGTCAGGGCAGGAAGCACAGCCAGAGGCGGCCCAGCTGGCAAGCCCCTTCCTGCCCTGCAGCAGCCCCTCTCCTCATCCTCCGCCCTGCAGGGCTGCGCTCCACATCCTCCTCACCCAGGGCTGCTAGGAGAGGGCTGGCTCCTGAGTCACCACACCCCACCGCCAGGCCGGGCAGGGCACACAGGGCAGAGGGGGACCAGGCGGGGGCCCCACCCACCTTCCCGGGAGTTCCGGGCTCCCAGGGACCATCTGCACTGGTCACGGTGCTACCACTGGGTCCGCCACCTTCTCAGCGGGTGGCGTCCCTCCCAAAGGGACCAAAAGGCTTTGGACAGAACGACCCTGTGGCCCCTCCAGATGCTGACGGCGTTTGTGTCTGTACTGAAATGTCACTGGGGTGGGCTGTCTGGAAGAGAAAGCCTCCACAGAGGCTCCTCGGGGGCAATGAGAGCCCCCCACCCCACCCGCGACCCCACCTCGCTGGCCGCACCAGGAGCCTCTGGCCATGAGCACCAGGAGGACGCGCAGCGCCTGACACTCGGCCACAGCCCCAGAAAGGTTAGAATTCGATTCTGGCCATATGAGCTGCAACCCATGTTCAAGTAAAGTCACCTTCATCTAAAAACAGCCGCCGCCTCCTTGCCCACTCGGCAGCCAGGCCAGGGCTCTGGGCCAGGCAGGCCGCGTGGTACTTGTACACAAGTGGCCCTGCAGGATAAGGCTGCCGGCCCCCACCCACCCCCACCCGCCCTCCTCCCCACCCACTGCAGTGCTCACACAGGAGCCAGAGAACAGCTCTGGGAAGCGGCCTCAGGCACCTCCCCTACCCGCCCCCACCAGCCGCAGCCAGGCGCTCCCACTCCTCTCATCTGAAGCTCAGGGATGAAGCCCTCCGCCCTCCGGACCCAGCTGGCATACCCGGGCCCTCCCGTCCCTGACAAGCCCGCAGGAGACGTGGACGGCCAACCTTGGGCACTCACCACACCCAGCCGTGCCCCACCAACCCATAGACGCCCCCGAAGCAAGTTTCAGGAGAGGCAAACACAGTCCCGAATTCACAGAGAAAACAGCAGTGTCCACCCCACACAGGACAAGGCTGTGTGGCCCAAATCTTCTGGTCTTCACAAGTCAGTCCCCAGCAAAATTGAGGTTAAAAGCACAAACATGCTCCACGGACATGGATCCACTTCTCACCACACACACACACACACACACACACAGACCCACTTCTCACCACACACACACACAGACCCACTTCTCACCACACACACACACACACAGACCCACTTCTCACCACACACACACACGCACACACTTCTCTCACCACACACACACACACAGACCCACTTCTCACCACACACACGCACACACAGACCCACTTCTCACCACACACACGCACACACAGACCCACTTCTCACCACACACACACACAGACCCACTTCTCACCACACACACACACAGACCCACTTCTCACCACACACACGCACACACAGACCCACTTCTCACCACACACACACACACAGACCCACTTCTCACCACACACACACACACAGACCCACTTCTCACCACACACACACACACACACAGACCCACTTCTCACCACACACACACACACACACACAGACCCACTTCTCACCACACACACACACACAGACCCACTTCTCACCACACACACACACAGACCCACTTCTCACCACACACACACACACACACACACGGCTGCACCGCAGCGCTGCCACACTGCGGACTCCACATGCAGCTCTGGCCAGTAAGCCCCGGGCTAAGCTTTCCGCTGAGGAGAAACGCTTCTCAGTCCCCTGCACAAGAGGAACAAAACCGTGACCCGCGCTACCCGGCAGGGATGGACCAAAGGTCTTTCACCCACTGGGCTGTCCAAATTAGCTCAATGTGGGAGCCTCGTGCTGGGCTTGAAACCCAGTCAAGCCTGGCTGGCTCCCACCACTGAGGCTGTTTCCACAGGGCTGAGGCGGTGGCTTATCTCACACATTCACCTCGCCCGGGGGCTCCTATCTGTGTCTCCCCCACAGAGCTGGTCCAGTGCTAGGGCCAGGTCCTTGCCCAGGAGACATTCGATAAAGGGCCACTTTGGTTACCAGGAAGACGAAATCTCAGACGTGGGTCAGGAGTTAGCTGGCAAAGCCTCTGGAAGAAGGAGCTCCCTCCTCAGCCTCTGCCCAAGGCCCCCTATGGCTCAATGCCCAGGAGAGAGGCTCCAAGCCCTTGCTCTTGACCCTTCAGGAGCCCAGACCCTCCAGCTCTACACCTTGTTCCCAACACATCAGTCACTATAATTTTTTTTTGTCTGAGACGGAGTCTCGCTCTGTCGCCCAGGCTGGAGTGTAGCGGCGCCATCTCGGCTCACTGCAAGCTCTGCCTCCCAGGTTCACACCATTCTCCTGCCTCAGCCTCCCTAGAAGCTGGGACTACAGGCACCTGCCACCACACCCAGTTAAGTTTTTGAATTTTTAGTAGAGGCGGGGTTTCACCGTGTTAGCCAGGATGGTCTTGATCTCCTGACCTCGTGATCCGCCTGACTCAGCCTCCCAAAGTGCTGGGATTACAGGCGTGAGACACCGCGCCCAGCCTTTTTTTTTTTTTTTTTTTTTTTTTTTTAAAAAAAAGACAGTCTCCCTCTGTTACCTAGGCTGGAGTGCAGTGGCCCAATATCGGCTCACTGCAACCTTCACCTCCTGGGTTCAAGCGATTCTCTTGCCTCAGCTTCCTGAGTGGCTGGGATTACAGGCGTGCGCCACCACGCCCAGCTAATTTTTGTGTTTTTAGTAGAGATGGGGTTTCACTATGTCGGCCAGGCTGGTCTTGAACTCCTGACCTCAGGTGATCCACCCACCTCAGCCTCCCAAAGTGCTGGGATTAAGCCTCACTATAAATCTTTAATCCAGAACCAAATGGGGGTCTCAATAAAGGAAGAAATTTTCTATCAAGCAAGAAAGGCTGTCATGCTTTTCTCCCGAAGAAACACACCTCAATCCATTTCCCAAATGCACTCTCCAAACCGCGTCTGCCCACCCCCACACGGCCCCTCCTAAGACAGCACTGGAAACCTAATGCCCGGTCAGAGTCTGCTAAAAACGACTTTCTCACTATTTCCTGCGCTGAATGGGGTGGCCAAGGCCCCTCATTGTGACCTTGGAACCTCGACTCCCCACAGGGCTCAGTTTCCTCGCCTGTAAAGGAGGAGGGGCGTTCAGAGACCACCACATTCTGTGCCCTGAAGCAAGGCAGAATCTGAGAGAAGGCTGGCGCCACTCGAGGCAGATTCTGCCTTCCCTTCCAGGCAGGGCGCCTCGAGGGAGCCTGCGAGGGCTTAAGAGTCTGGGAGAACACCCGGGGGCAGGTGCACACCCGAGGCAAGACGCCAGGGCTAAATCCCGTGAAGAACGGTAATCCCTTCCCGATCCGGAGGGAGGGCTGACCCACTCAGAGCCTCCGTGTGCGCTTGGAGGACAAAAGCCCCTTTTCCAGAAGAGAGCGCCACGACCATCGCTCCCGGCAGCGCGGGCCCTGGCGGGGGCCCCGGACACTCCGGGTAGGGTCTGTGACCCTAACACGCGCAGGCAGGGTGGGCCCGTCTCCAGGCTCCACCCTCAGGCCGTTCTCCCCCGACCTGCGGAGTCCAGTCCCAGCAGGACAGGTCGGGCAGCCACCAGCCCAGCCCCTGCCCCGACTCCAGGCCAAAGGGGACGCTCACCCAGGCTCTGGGTCTCCCTTCTCCTGGCCGGAGGGACGGGCGGGCGGGCCACCTCCAGCCGCCTTCGCAGACGCCCTCGCCCGGGGATCAGGCGAGAGCCTCCACCTCTGCCGGGGAACCCCCAACCCCAGGCCACCGAAAAGCAGGACGCCCACCTCCCCCGACCGAGACCGGCCTGGCCAGGACCCCCAGGCTCCCGCCCCCAAGCAGGGGCTTCACGCCCACACACAGAGGGCGCGGCGCCCGGGGGAGCCTGGCAGGCAGCGCCGGGAGGGACCCCCAGCTCCCCTCAAACCCTGGGACTTCACCCCCAAGCTCCACACTGGCGCGGGAAGCCTCCGGGGCCGACCTTTCGCACCCCAGGCGGCCCCGCGCCGAGGCCCCACGCTCCCGTTGGCTTCCGGTCCGGACCGCAGCCTCGGCCGCGGCCTCCATTCCCGGCCCCTGCAGGACCGCACCCCCGCCCCCGGCCCGCTCCTCACCAGCCCCGGAGGCTCCGTGGGCGCCCAGCAGCGCCAAACCCAACAGCACGAACAGCTTAGCCGCCATGATGTCTCCTCCTCGCCGGCCCCGCAGCCGCCAACCGCCGCCGGAGCCGCCCGCGGCCGCTATAAAAACCGGCGGGGGCGCGGACCGGGCGCGCGCACGCACGGCGTCATCGCGGGGGCGGGGCGCGCGCGGGGCACGCCGGGCGCCCCGCCTGCGCATGCGCGCGCGCGCACGCACGCACGCGCCGGCTGCGGCAGGCTCCCGCTACGGAAGCCGGGCGGCGGCGCACGTGACAGGGCGTTGCTAGGAAACGGGAGCGCGGCCCGCGGGGACGCGGCTGGAGCCTGCGCATTTCTTCCTCCGGCTTTCAAAGCTGGAATGAGCGCGGAGCGGTGCGGCCGACGGGGTTGAAACGTTCCAAGTGCATTACCCAGATTTGATCAGAGTGAAACACGGGCCGGCCGCTGTGGCTCACGTCTGTAATCCCAGAGCCTTGGGCGGCCCGGGCGGGAGGATCGCTTGAGCCTGGGAGCTCGAGACCAGCCGCGGCAACATGGCGAGACCCACCTCTCTGCCTTTAAAAACGTACATATCTATGTGAACAGATTAATAAATTAGGCGGGAGGAAGCGACCTCCTCCGCCCCAAGTAAAAATACTTAAAAGGCACTGGAATCTGGATCTCAGAAAATGAATGATTTCTCAGTATAAACGTCCTGTTCGCCATTTGGTTGGGAAAACTGAGTTAAGAAACTCAACTTCCAGGTCAAAAGTTGTAAATCAGCCCTACCTGCTTCTTCCCCGGCCCCCTTCTTCTTCTCTCGCAGGGGGCGCGTTTACCCTGTTTTTAAAAAGTTCTGAGTCTCAGCCAACCGGGGTCCGCTCAGATGGCGGGCAGAGGCCAGAAGCCCCGACAGGGGCAGGACAGAGGCCAGAAGCCCCTGCCTTTGTCGCGTGTGCTCCGGCGGCTGCACCCCGCGCAGGCGGCGCCCCCTGCACAAGTAAAGGGGTGTCTCCGAGACGTTTCCGAAGTGCAGGTTTCTCTCTGCGGGGCCGGCTCGCCGCCCCCAAACTTCCTATTTGGATCCCATTCTCTTTCGGGACAGGCGGGCGGTCACCTTTTTGGGGAGACCCGTCCCACTGCTTCATTGGGGGGCCCTCAGGAGCGGAGGATCGGGTCCCGCCCGAGGTGATGAGTGAACCCGGACTCTCAGCAACGCGGGTGGGAAGGACCCGGGAAGTTCCGGGGCGGCCAAGGTGAGACAAGGCAATATTGGGGCGACCGAGGTGGGGGTGAGACAAGGCAATATTGGGGCGACCGAGGTGGGGGTGAGAAAAGTCGCTATTGGGGCGATAGAGGTGGGGGGTGAGAAAACTCAATATCGGGGCGACAGATGAGGGGTGAGACAAGTGGCTATCGGGGCGACCGAGGTGGGGGTGAGAAAAGTCAATACTGGGGCAACCGAGGTGGGGGGTGAGACAAGTCGCTATTAGGGCGACAGAGATGGGGGTGAGAAAAGTCCCTTCCCACCCACCCCTCCATCCCTTCCCCACCCACCTCCTCCCCCAAACCAAACAGTCCCTTCCACACCCACCCCTCCATCCCTTCCACACCCATCCCTTCTCCCCAAACCACTCAGTCCCTCCCCCACTCACCGCTCTATCCCTCCCACACCCACCCTCCTCCCCAAACCCAACACTCAGTCCCTCCCCCACCCATCTCTCCGTCCCTTCCCCCCTAGAACCCTGCCACCTGGACTTTGCCCCCCACATCCCCGCTGGACAGCCACTGGAACATGCCCCTTCTTCAGGAAAGCTCCAACAGGTAGTAGAACAATGCCAAAGGGATATTCGAAACTTTCGACCAGGCGCCCTGGCTCACGCTTGCAATCCCAGCAGTTTGGGAGGCAGAGGCGGGTGGATCACGAGGCCAGGAGTTCAGGACCAGCCTGGCCAAGATGGTGAAACCCCATCTCTAATCGTCGGTAGTAACAATATGAATGAAAATTAGCGCTGGGCGGCGCGGTGGCTCAGCCTGTGAATCCCAAGACTTTGGAAGGCCGAGGCGTTATGATTTGTGTATTATGTTGGTTATTTGTTGTTTTGCTATTGGAGGCTGGCTAACATGGTGAAAACCCGTCTCTACTAAAAATACAAAAAAGAACTAGCCGGGCGTGGGTGTGCGGGACGCGCTGTAGTCCCCAGCGTACTGCGGAGGACTTAAGGGGGTTGCGAGATAAATGGCGTGGAACCCGGGAGGCGGAGCTTGCAGGTGAGCCGAGATCGCGCCAACTGCATCCAGCCTGGGCGACACGCGAGACTACCGTCTCAAAAAAACAAAAAAAAAAACAGAAATTAGCCTGGCGTATAGTGGCGAGCCGAATTCCAGCTAACGAGGAAGCTGAGTCAGAAGGAGAATTGCGTTGAACGCGGGAGGCGGAGACGTTGCAGTGGAGCCGATGGTGGAGCGAGTGCCACTCCAGCCTGGGGGACAGACGAGACTCCGTGCTCAAAAAGAAAACGCCAGAAATTCCTTCGCCTCCCTCAAGAAGCGCTGCCCGCAGCCCATTTTTCCGTTATAAGGCGGAAGGACCACGGAAAGAGGGATAGTTGCTTGGTAAAGGGATCCACTGATAACCGCGCTTCAGAGGTTAGAAATCTAAAAAAAGAGACGGCCCACTGTCCAGAAACCCTTTTGGAGTGCAACGGGATTCAAAACTGACAATTTCTGGAGGACACAGACGCGTATAGCTTGGGCTGAATTAATGGTTATCTCGGTCTATTACATCTGAAGGAGAGAGGAACAGACCATGATTCTGTCAGGCCGCATGTGTTAAGTCTGGAGGCGTGAACACCCCCTGGTCAGAATGTGCGCTTGCACAGACAGAGCGTAAGAATGCCCAGGCCGGAGGACCCCTCGGTGGGAGTGACGTGGACCCACCAGGAAGACACGAGCGATCTTGGAGGTAGCATTAAAGGGATTGCGGGAATCAGATCCTGCTAAGCCAAGAATACACTTGCCCGAGCATTGATAACAGTACAACAAGGGGAAACGATGAAGGGGCCTGTGAGGAGGCTATTTTTTTTTTTTTTTTTTTTTTTTTGGAGACAGAGTCGTTGCTCGTTGCCAGGGCTGGAGAGCAGTGCTGCATCTCGGGCTCAACTGCACCGTCCACTCTCCCAGGTTCAGGCCCATTCTCCTGCCTCAGCCTGCCTGATAGCTGGGAGTGATAGGAGCGCCACCCGGAGCGCCATGCTGAGTTTTGTGATTTGGGTGGAGAATCGAGGATGGTCAGTATGTTGGCGCAAGAGGTCTCTGATCTCCGTGACCTCGTAATCCGCCCACCTCGCATCCCAAGAGTGCTGGGGATACAGTGTGTGAGCACCACGATCGGCGCGCCAGGCTCGATCGGAAGTTCTTAAAAGCGACTTAAACAATAAAAATAGGAGGCTGCCGGCTGCAAGCCCTGGTAATCGGAACATTTGGTGGAGGCCGAGGACGGGCGGACAAGTCAGGAGATCGATGGACCATCTGGCTAACATGGTGAAAACCCGCCTCTACTAAAAATACAAAAAACTAGCGGCGAAGTGGTGGGACTGTTATCCCAGCGACGCGTAGGCTGAGCGAGGAGCAAATGGCGGTAAAACCCGGAGGAGCGCGTGCAGTGGACCGAGATCGGTGCACTGCGACGCGACCTGACAGGAAGAAAAAGAAATGGAGTGCACAAGACCTTGGGAGGGCGGAAAGGATTTCCGATAGCTTGTAGAAAGGTTGACCAGGCTGAAGGCAGCGCGAGCGGTACGGAGAGCGGGTAGTTCATCCGAGGTAAATACGGAGGGAATGACAAGACGGCTTACCCAGGTTAAGTCTGTTTAACTTCACCTACCATTAACTAGAACCTTGGAGCCCGACGACCCCTCTTTGGGCTGGGTTGCGACCAAAAATGTCTGCCCCAACATACTTTACATAAACCGTGTATCCTGACTCTTAATCTTTTTCGCTTCTTTTCTTCTCGCCTGGCCTCCACAAGTGCTGGAGCATTTCAGGCGGAGCCCAGCCGCGCCCGCGCATCAGGTGATGTTTATTCTCCCATCGTATTGGGTCAGGGGTCTGCGCGCGAGGAGCTCCTGCAGCATAATGCTCCGCTTGGCGATGAATCAACTACCTCAGTCGGTGGCCTCTGCTGTGGAGGAAAGCCTACTGCCATTAGCGCACATTCCTGTCCTGCGGCTTCTTGGGAAAAGTCTCCGCAAGCATCGCCCAGCATTCCCCAGCTCGCCACGCTGCTGCACAGAGGTTTCGCGTGCACCGGTTCTCACAGCTCCACATCCACTTTGCCAAAGGAATTCACCCCGCTCTATGCCAGCTCCAGCACATGTTAAACCCTGTGCAAATCTGCGTATTCACGTCCCCAGCCGCTACCGATTCTAATCGCTGCCGGGAGTCGGCTTCTGCAGGCGGGGAGCCGATGTTGGGCGTCCGGCCCTAGAGCTACTATGTTAAAGGCGACATCGATAGCCGGGCACGGACGGCGGCTCACGCTCTGGAAATCCCAGGAACTTGGGAGGCTGAGGCGGGGATCACCTGAAGTCCAGGAGTTCGGAGGCGCCCTGACCAACATGGATGAAACCCTGTTGCGTGACTCTAAAAATACGAAAATGTAGCATGGGCGTGGTGGCCGGCGCCTGGAATCCCAGTACTCAGAGAGCTGAGGCTAGGGGAGAATCGCTTTGAACCGGGAGGCGGAGTTTAGTGAAGCCAGGATTCGACACCACCTGCACTCTAGGCTCTGCGAATAAGACGCGGATCCGCTCCAAAAAAAAAGAAAAAAGAAAAAAAAGCAAGGGCAAGCTGGATATATTATCCAGAATGATACCAGGCCCGATGCCGACAGTTGATCCCATGATGATACAGTCCCGGAGTGCGAACCATTGAGTTGCCCAGGATGATAACAGGCCCGCGAATGCGACCATCACCGAAAGCCAGACGAGGGCGATGTATACTCGGACCTAGCGCAAATATGAAATCGCGCTGAAACTCTGGAATTAGTGACGGGGCGCAAGTGTCTTGAAAAGAGAACAAAACTAGACTAGGAACAGATGGTTATGGAAAAATGGCAAGGGACGTCAGGTAACCTGGCGAATCGTGTTGCGGTCGCTTGTCTGTTATTTATTATTCGTTTTAGAGACGAGTCTCTTTGTCTTGCCCAGGCGGTAGGCAGTGGAGCATAGATCTT